ACTATCTGCTAATGAAGATCCAACTCCTACAAATACATAAATGCCATTTTTTCTCTCCCAAGAAAGTTTTTAGTACTGTACCTAAACAATAGTTTTTATTAGTAATTTTGTTGCTGTTGTTATTCTTCATGGGGCTTGAACTTGGGGCGTAGGTGCTGTCCCTGAGCTCTTTGAGCCACAGTATCACTTCCCGTTTTCTGGTGGTTAAGGAGATAAGAATCTCATGGACTTTTCCTGCCTGGACTAGTTTCGAACTATGATCATCAGAGTAGCTAGAATTACATGCATGAGCCACCAGTGTCTGGCTTTTACTAGTAATTAAAAAAATTAAAAAATTGAAATTATCTTTATGTAATTGTATGAAGGAGGTACTATTTAGCAAAACATTTATAAATACAGTACATCTTGATCAGTAATTTTTTTTATTGTGAAAATACTGTACAGAGGGGTTACAATTACATGGGCAAGATAATGAGTACATTTCTTATCAAGCATTGTTGCCTCCTCCTTTGTTTCCCTTTCTTATCTCCCCTTTGCCCCCCGTGCCCCCCTACCCAATCATTCCCCCGGCCCTTGATCAGTAATTTTATGACCAGTGGGAAGACAGAAAGAAAGTCTCTGATTATCAAGGTTTCTGTCATATTTCATGCTCTTATGCTATGGCAGAACCCCTTACGTTATCATTTGGTCTGTTGGTCTTTAGTTATAGACTATTATAAAATCTTGTGAACATGTTGGTGTTGATTAGACATAAGTAATAGAAAGAACTGCTATATTGATATGGTAGTCTGGCCTCCATGAAGATTACCTACTAGGAAACTAGGGAAAATCTTATAAAGTACATCTAACCTGGGGTTTCTTGCCTTTAGGACCAGAAGAATCATCTCTTCCACAGCTCATAATCGAAAATAGCTTTGCTATATTGTATGGTAGAATATAGCACAGTAGTTGTAACAGGTGAAACTCAACAAAAAGAGTAAATTGAGTTATATATTGCCTGTAAGAAAACAGGACTGTTGTCTTATTTGTATGTATAGAAAATTAAGTGCATATTTTATTCTTTGACATCAAATAGCCTAAAATGTTATTTGACTAATTATTTATAATCATTTATACTCTCTTTTATTTTTCAATAAGTTCTTTTGTAAGTACAAAAATAGGCATTTCAATTAATATTCCCATATGCCTTCTTTCCTCCCTCATTTACAGTATTTAGTAGATTTCATTCATGCTGTCTTAACACACACACCTTTTCCTTCTCAGGAGCCTTCCCTTTTCCTCCTCTAACAATTTCTGATCCCCCTCCTCCCCCACAGAAAGACTCCCTTTTTTTTTGCATTTTTTTTACTGTGATTAAGTGATTACATAAATTTCACAAATTTCACAGTATTGTGGGATATAATACTTAAAGTCACAAACACATTCTAACCTTCATGGGGCAAATTGTCTTTATCATGGTCTATAAAGTTTATGAGTTCTATGAGCTTTGACAATACAGTTATTTCTTCCACATCGAGTGATATGTACATTTCTTTTCTTTTGCTTAGTGTCAGCTGTTCCTTCTTTCCCCGTTCATTCCTTCCCTCCCATTGCTGCCTTGAGTTGCTTAGTTGGTATTCATCAATGTTCAATGCAGCTGATGGGTCCTGCTGTTGTATGTTTTCCTATTTCCCTTTGTTTCTGTGTCCTCCTCCTAGTTTCTCTCTGATTTGCACATATATATCATATATGTGGTAAGCAGTATGGGGTCATTTAGTAATGATTTGACCAGATGAGTGGGGGTCCTTTGTTACTTTGGCATATTATCTTAACGTTTTGGATTTAACATTCACTTATCAGGGAGACCATGTGCCATTTGTCTCTTTGCTCTTGGCTTACCTCACTCAACATGATTTCTTTTAGTTCCATCCATTTAGTTTCCCTGCAAATGCCATTATTTTGTTCTTTCTAATGGCATAATATTCCATTGTAAATAGGTACTACAATTTTTGGATCCATTTATCTGTAGTGGGGCATCTAGGTTGTTTCCATATCTTGGCTATTGTGAACAGTGCTGCAATAAAATGGAGGTACATTTGTCCTTGTATACTGGTTCCTGTTGTTCAGGATAGATGCCTAGGAGTGGTTTGGATGGGTCATAGGGGAGGTCAATATTTAGCCTTTTACATATATTATAATTATTATTACCATCATCATCATCATCATTACCTTTTTAGGTTTAGATTCCACAAAACCATATAATACGTGGCTTTTTGACCTTTGATTATTTTGCTCAGCACGATGATCTTCAGTTTTGTCACTTTATTGCAAATGTAAGTTCACTTTGTTTTATAGCTAAATTATACTCCAAATCATAAATATACCATATTTCTTTATTCCACTGTCATTGGGCATCTTGACTGACTCCACTGCTTGGCTATTAGAAACAGTGCTTCAATAAACATAGTTATTCAGGTTTCTTTTGTACACTGATTTAGCATCCTTTGGATATATGCTAAAGAATGGTGTAAAAAAGTTATTGTGTAGATGTACTTCTAGATTTTTGAGGAACCTTCTTCCATAGTGTCTATATTGCTTTATATCCCCATTACTAAGTATATGAAGGTTTCTTGCCTCTATCCCCATATCTTTGCCAGCATTTATTGTTTTTTTATGGTAATTATTCTGATTCAAATTTAAGTGTAAGTTGATTTACATTTTCCTATTGCCAAGGAATTTGTATTTCTGACAACCATCTATTCATTTGTCCCTGCATTAATTGGGTTATTTGGTCTCTTTTAATTTTTTGAGTTCTTTATATATTCTGGATGTAGCTGGTAAAGGCTGTCTATTCTGTTGGTTTTCTTTTGCATCTGATAGTTGTTTCCTTTGATGTACTTGAGCTTCATTTCATGCAGTTTTTTTGTCTTCCATTTCCCGGAGATAGGGAGATACGTGGAAAGATATTTTGAAAGATATTTTCATATGTCTTCCAGAGTTTCCCATATATTCTCTGTAGTAGTTTCAATATTTATTTTTATCTTGCATTAAGAATGTTTATCTGTTTGGAATTGATTTTTCTATAGGGTGAAAAATAGAGGTTAAATTTCAGTTTTCTGTATATAAATAGTTTCCCTGCACCATGTGTTGAAGAAATTGTTTTTTTTCTTCAGTGTATATTTTTGGCTCATTTGTCATAGATCAAATGGTTTGTGGCTGTCTGTTTTTATTTCTAGGTCTTCTATTTTGTTCCATTGGTCTTGTGTCTGTTTTTATGTCACTACCATGCTTTTCTTATTATGGCCCTGTAGTATAATTGGAAGTCCAGTATTATGATACCTCCAGCATTTCTCTTATTATTCAGAATTACTTTAACTGTTAGTGGTCTTTGTGTTTTCATATGAAATTTTGGATTGATTTTCTGTTTAGGCAAAGAATAACATTACAACTTTCATAGTCATTACATTGAAACTATAAATTGGTTTGGTGTAGTATAGCCAATGTTATTAATTCATCTCATATTCTGCATTGGAGGTCTTCCTATCTTCTGGTGTCCCTTCAGTTTCTTTCATTGTCTTACAGTTTTCATTGAGAATTCTTTGACCTCCTTAATTAAGTTTATGTCTTGCTATTTCTGATTTCTGAGACTTATTGTAAATAAAGTTGTTTTTAATTATTTCTTTCTCTTTATATTCATTTTTGATATCCTGAAAAAATACTGGATTTTGTATGTTGAATTTTGTATCCTTGTATGTTACCAAAAGTTTGTTGGATTTAGAAGGTTTGGAATATAATTGTTAGGGTCTTTAAAATATAAAATCATCTGACAACATGGATAATTTAATCTTTTCATTCTTATTTAAATCACTTTTATTTCTTTCTCTTGGTTATTTTTCTGACTAGGAATCTCAGTACTATCTTGAATAGGGAGTGGGAAGACTGGTTGCCCTTGTCACATTCCTGACCTTAAAGGAAATAATTTTGCCCACTTAGAATAAGGTTCACTGTATATTTGTCATATCATTGATTATGTTGAGGTATATTCTTTCTTTCCTTAGCTTCTTCAGACCCTTTATCATAAAAAGATGTTGAATTTTACCATAGGCTATTTTTTAATGTGTTTATAATTTTTTTTTTTTGTCAGTCATGGGGCTTGAACTCTGGGCCTGGGCGCTGTCCCTTAGCTATTCAGCTCAAGGCAAGCACTCTACCACTTGAGCCACAGCACCACTTCTGGTTTTCTGGTGGTTTATTGGAGATAAGTGTCTCATGGACTTTCCTGCTGGGCTGGCTTTGAACCGCGATCCTCAGATCTCAGCCTCCTGAGTAGCTAGGGTTACAGGTGTGAGTCACCAGTGCCCGGCTGTAAATATTTTATTTACAAATTTTGCATGTCTGTCTCTATCTGGTTATGAGTATAAATACTAGCTTTATCTTTATGAAATGAGTTTGGTTGCATTCTTTCCTTTTCTACTTCATGGAGTTTGAGGAGTATTGATGTTAGTCCATCTTTAAAGGTCTGATAACATTTGATAGTTTACTGGGTTCTAAGCTTTTCTTTGTTGGGAGACTCTTAAGTAATTCAAATTCATTGCTCTTTATATATCTTTTTAAGTGGTTTACATGCTTTCAGTTCAATTTTGGTGGGTCAGATAAACTAAAAAATTTATACTTCTACATTATTTGAATATAGAAATATTTATAGGTGATGTCACTCCTTATCCATCTTAAAACCAACCCTGTCCATCATATTTTTCACTATATACCCAATGTCGTCTGTGTAGCTAGGATTACCGATGTGAATCACTGAAATCATGAGTTGGATTGATTCTTTATACCCTATTTTAGAATAGTCTCGATTAAAGTATTAAGAGGAATTATTACTTAAAAGTCGTATAAATTCAGTGGCATAAAATTCAGCTCATAAAATGAACTTTTGCATTTAGCAGTGTGATATTTTTTCCAACATATTTTTTCTGTAGTTGCTTCTCTTTTAACAAATGTTTTTCTTGTTCTTTTAGGTTACTGCTTTGGAATAGCCATATGTCTAATTCTCTAAAGTAGTTCCATATGTAACACTTGTAAAGGATCAGAACAATGCCTCCACGACCATCATCAGGTGAACTGTGGGGCATCCATTTGATGCCCCCAAGAATCCTAGTAGAATGTTTACTACCAAATGGAATGATAGTGACTTTAGAATGCCTCCGTGAGGCTACATTAGTTACTATAAAGCATGAACTATTTAAGGAAGCAAGAAAGTACCCTCTCCATCAACTTCTTCAAGATGAATCATCTTACATTTTTGTAAGTGTTACTCAAGAAGCAGAAAGGGAAGAATTTTTTGATGAAACAAGAAGACTTTGTGACCTTCGGCTTTTTCAACCCTTTTTAAAAGTAATTGAACCAGTAGGCAATCGTGAAGAGAAGATCCTCAATCGTGAAATTGGTACGATACAATTTTCAGCTAAATTAAATGATATTGTCATCCCATTATAAAATGCAAATAATTTGAAATCTTGCCTGTTGTCTAATTACTAAAACATTTTTGAACCCATATTTTTACAATTCAAAATAGCTTTCAACCAAAAAAAATGTTTATAAAACTAAAGTAGTTTGATTGATTCTAACACTTTGATATTCTGTATTTTTATTAGAAATATGATTTGTAGGGCTTTGTTTTGTTATACTCCAGTTTTATTGTTCTGTAAATAAATAATTGATAATAGGAATCAGTATATTGATACATATGAGAGGTTTATTTGCTATAGATAAAAATGGGATCTTATCAACTCATACTATAAGCATGCATCTAAGATTTTTTTAACTAAGAGAAACATCTTCATGAATTTGTGCTTTTCCAAATCTGTACATTTTTCTGTTTATAAGAAACGTGTCCATACCATGACCTTAATAACATGCTCTATTCTTTATGCAATATTTTTTAAGGTTTTGTTATTGGCATGCCGGTGTGTGAATTTGATATGGTTAAAGATCCGGAAGTACAGGACTTCCGAAGAAACATTCTGAATGTTTGTAAAGAAGCTGTGGATCTCAGAGATCTTAATTCACCTCACAGTAGAGCAATGTATGTTTATCCTCCAAATGTGGAATCTTCACCAGAATTGCCAAAGCACATATATAATAAATTAGATAAAGGTAAGAAAATTCCTATTCTACTGGAATCATTACTACAGTGAAATATTCTGTGTGTGGCCTGCTATTTTTTTTCAGAATTATTTTCTTGGATTGATAATTTCCTTGAAGAGAAAGGCTGCTTAAATTGACAAAATATAATTGCTTAGTATACATTGTGTGGTCAATAAATCTTTATGGTTGAATGAATTGTGTACATATAATACTGATCCTTGGTGAAAAAAAAATTTTTTTTTTGGTCGGTCATGGGGCTTAAACTCTGGGCTTGGGTGCTGTCCATGCACTCTTCAGCTCAAGGTGAGCCACAGCACCACTTCCACTTTTCTAGTGGTTTATTGGAAATAAGAATTGGAGTAGTTTGGATTACAGGCATGAGCCACCAGTGCCCAGCTACCTTGGCTGAATTTTTATCTCAAGAAAACATGAAATTCACTGTCTTTGGATTCTAACAGAACTAGAACTGATGGTCTTTTTTTGCAAATAAAACTGAGGTCTTTGGAGTGTAGATTAGTGATCAGCTGTTTATTGTCATATGCCAGGCCCAAGGTTTGATTCTTTAGAACCACAAAGAATTATATGCATAAAGTATGGTTAGCAACATCTTATGAAAATTTGGAAGAGCTTTAGGCATTCTTATTTAGACATAAGCTTTCTTAAATTCAATATTTAAGTCTTATAATACTGACTGACATTAGAGGAATATGTGACATTTACTGCACCAATGTCTAGAATAAAATGAAGAAAAGTATATAAACTTTTGCATTGTAAATGATTATTATTGCATCAGATAACCTATTTGTACTTTCTACTTTATTGTTTGGACAGTAGTGGGGATTAAACTGAGTTTCTCTACTACAGAGCAACCTCCAACTATCTTTTTCTGCTAGTTTTATTTATGATAAATCCTTGTAGCTTGGGCACATCCCTGGACTGTGACCTTCCTATTTTGGTGTCACATTATAACTGGATAACAGGCATATACCACTATACCACACTGAACTTTCTTTCTCCTATGTGAAGTCTAGAAGACTTTATGCCTAGGATGGCCTAGATCCATAATTCCTACCTTCCTCAGTCTCCCTTACAGCTAGGATGAGAGGTTCATACCATCATGACCAGCTTTCAGTTGAGATTGGGACTCTAAGACTTTACTGACTGAAATCCTACTGATCTTAGCATGCCATGTAGGTATGATTATAAGTGTAAACTACTAGCAGTGGGTTTGTATTTTTTCAGTATGACAGAATGAAGCTTACAATTTGAAGTTACAGAATATTTCACGTTATTAAGTCCATAATTCTGTGATGAGCACCCAAAGCATCTTATTTCTTTCTCATTCTTCTTATTTAAAGTTGTTCAATGTAATAGAAGATTTTTAAGATTTCTATTTAGGAAACATTTTAAAATGGAATATTCTTCTCACTTTTCTCTAGTTACTATGAAAAATCTCCAACATACACAAAAGTTTAAAAAATTAACTGCAAACACTGTTCATTTTATGAGAATCTTGCCATTTTACATTGTGTTCTGGGGAGGTCTAGCTTACTTGATCTTAATACTATCAATTATTAAAATTTTCTACTTCTACCAGATATTAAATACTTATATTTAATTAGGTTGATTATAAGTCATTTATAATTATGGTTAGAATAATGGGTAGTGCATACTTCTTGAAAATTGTTTCTTGATGAATGAAACACACATGATGAGTACATCTAATTTTTTTCTGTTATAGGACAAATAATAGTAGTGATTTGGGTAATAGTTTCTCCAAATAATGATAAGCAGAAGTATACTCTGAAAATCAATCATGACTGTGTACCAGAACAAGTGATTGCTGAAGCAATCAGGAAAAAAACTCGAAGTATGCTGCTGTCCTCAGAACAACTAAAACTCTGTGTTTTAGAATATCAGGGCAAGTATATTTTAAAAGTGTGTGGATGTGATGAATACTTCTTAGAAAAGTACCCATTGAGTCAATATAAGGTGAGTAATACATTTCAAGAATATTATTTTTATTTTTTGAATTAGCATATATATTTGTAGTATGAGGGAGTTTCATTATGATATTTCCAAATATATACACAGTGAACTTTGAACAAATACCCCTTCTTCACCATGTTCTCATTTCTCTCCTCCTTCCTGTACCCTTTTATAAAAGGGTTTGGTGGGTTTTGTAATCTTGTCTCTGTGTGTGCCTGTGTGTGCCTCTGTGTGCCTCTGTGTGTGTGTGTGTGTGTGTGTCCCTTTCAGTATCCCTTTCCCCCCTCCCCAAAATACTAATTTTAAATTTAAAAGTAACTACACAAGAACTGTTACCTGTATTTTTAGAACAACTTTAAAAAATTAAGTAATTAATATTGCAAAAGTACATTTTCTTTTTTTTATTGTGAAAATACTGTACAGAGGGGTTACAATTACATGGGCAAGATAATGAGTACATTTCTTACCAAGCATTGTAGCCTCCTCCTTTGTTTCCCCTTTCTGTCCCTTCCCAGCCTCCCCCCACCCAGTCCCCCCCCCACACACCAAAGTTGTAAAGTTTGTTTTTCCACATAACGACTTGTACATCTTGGAAAGCACATTTTCAAGTTTATTTTCAGGCTGTAATAATTTAAGTCTAAAAATGTTGCCAATTACAATAATCTCAATATGGAGGTTATATGTATGCACAGTTACAATAACAAATATGGAATTTTTGTGGTTTTTTTTTTTTTCCTCTCAAGACATGATATGGGACTAGGTGCTGGTGGTTTATGCTAGGATACTAGATGCTCAAGAGACTGAGACCTGAGGATTACCTTCAAGGCCTGCCCTGGCAGGAAAGTCGATGGGACGGACACTTATCTCTAATTAACCAGCCAAAAAAAGAAGTGGAAGTGTGGCTTGAGTGGTAGAGCGCCAGCTTTGAGGGACAAAATATAACCCACTCCCAGTCCCTGGGTCCAAGCCCTAGTAGTAGCACCATATACAAACACATAAAAGACATGGGAATAGAATTGAAGTAGGCATTTCAAAGAGTATGGTTTTCTATCTTTAAAATTTTTTATTTTCTTTAGTTGTACAAAAGAGTTGAATTCAACTATATGTCTTGATCAGTGCCAATATTTAACTATATTGTCAATATTTTCAACCACTCATCCCCACCTCTCCCTTCCAGAAAGATTATGGTTTTTTTCAATGGATATACTATTAATACTTTCACACACTTTTTCCACTCACTAAGTAAATAGGCATAAGAAGCAACTAAAACAAACACATACAAAATTGTAATTTGTAATACCAAGTAAGACATGGTCCTGGCTTTCAGATTGATTATAATCTAGTAGAGCTTATAGGTAAGAAAATAGGCCATTATAATATGAGAATTATAAGATTTACATTGTTAAAAAACCTCTATTCAAACTACCAGTACATTTTAGCATTTTTAACATGTCTCCATAACAATGCTTCTTGGGAAATGTTTGGTCGGCAAACTTGGGATGAAACATCATTATGATAAGAGAGACTTACTCAGATGATACTGCTTTTCTGCTATGAGGATCCTCTCATTCTTGCGTTTAGTAATTTTAGAAAGATAAGCCCAAAAGTTGGCCTTACTAATTTCTTTTTTATGTAACATATTCATCAAAAATTTTGATACATATATTAAGTACAAGTAAGCACAAAAAATGTCTAGAAGGTATGACTTAAAATCATGTATGATTAATTTGTAATAATTTTAGTAATAATTTGCATATTAATTTGGTTAATATGTAAAGTCTCATGATATTTGTATATATTGCCTTTGAAGCAAAAAACAATAACCTTACAAGAAATGGTTTCTTGCCACCTTTCTTAATATTTTACAGTATATAAGAAGTTGTATTATGCTTGGGAGGATGCCTAATTTGATGCTGATGGCTAAAGAAAGCCTTTATTCTCAGCTGCCAATGGACTGTTTTACAATGCCATCTTACTCTAGACGCATCTCCACTGCTACACCATATATGAATGGAGAAACATCTACAAAATCCCTTTGGGTTATAAATAGTGCACTCAGAATAAAAATTCTGTGTGCAACTTATGTAAACGTAAATATCCGAGACATTGATAAGGTAAGGTAAAATCAGCAGTTTTAATGCTGATGCTTCTAAGCTCTAAAAATCAAAAATTTTATAAAACTTTTGTCAACAAAAGCTGATCTGACTTAAATTGAGCCTTTTTGTAATGTTTATTAATTGCTCTTAATTTAAACATTCATGTCTTTTTACAGCATTGCTGTACTGTGTTAGCTACTTACATGTTTTATTGGTATACTAATTCTGGATTACATACTTAACTTAGGAGTTGTGAGCCTGTTTAAATTTTTCAGTAGTCTGATTTTCCCATCATTATAACAAACAAAAGCTGTAGCAAATTTTGCTGAGGTATTTGTATCTATGTTAAACTTTATGTATAAAGAAAAGAATAAAAACATTTTATTGAGCCGCCCCGGTGGCTCATGCCTTTAATCTTAGCTACTCAGGAGGCTGAAATCTGAGGATCGTGGTTCAAAGCCAGCCCGGGCAGGAAAGTCCAGTAGATGCTTATCTCCAATAAACCAGTAGAAAACTAAAGTGTTGCTGTGGCTCAAGCGGTAGAGCGCTTGCCTTGAGCTGAAGAACGCAGGGACAGCACCCAAGCCCAGAGTTCAAGCCCCATGACCGACCAAAAACAAAACAAAACAAAATTTATTGGTTTTCACATTCATATGTTATATTATGCTACTGTTTAATACTGAGTTCTGTTGTTCTATGTGTATATGAATATATGTATTGTATGTGTATGTGTGAATATATGTATGTATATTTTTATATACATGCTTTTTTCTTTTATTCACTTCCCTTTCTTCTTTCCTTATCCCTTTACTTTCTGTTTTCTTCTTTTTGTTCCCTTCCTCCTTCTCTCCTTCCCTCCCTCCTTCCCTCCTTCCTTTGTCTTACCTTATTTCAGATCTATGTTCGAACAGGTATCTACCATGGAGGTGAACCCTTATGTGACAATGTGAACACTCAGAGAGTACCTTGTTCCAATCCCAGGTAAGGGAGTATTTGGTACATATTTCTAAAGGTCATGTTAGTATTTAGCAATACTTGTAAAAGTGCAGTGCATTACCAAACATGTACATATAGAACAAATGAACATAGTTACAAAAATCACTTTTTGTTTCTAAAATCTTACCCAAAGTTTACTTTTATTCTTTATCTCTATTGTTCCAAAGAGAAGATAGTTACTGCTTTGTTCTTATAATTCCCCACATTAGATAAGAAAAATCTAACATGTTATTTTTCTTATCTTTGTTTTCTTACCTTATCTATGTATGAAGCAGTAAGAGTTGGTAAATAATTCCACAGTCAACCTCTAATGCAGATTTGTTCAAATTATTCCCCAAATAGATATTTATAGAATTCAATTGAAGGGTCTTTGTGAACAAGGTAATTTCCTAGGGAAAGAAGGGATTTATGAATCTTTAAATATTATTATTGCTCAAATGTAAGACATACAACGTAGGGTATTTAAAAAAACTTCTTTTTCTATGGAATTATTCAGGAATAAGAATCTATCCCTTAATATCATAGCAGTAATTTTAAGAGAATTTAACTTGATTCTGAAAATTGGATGTAGAATTAATAGAATAGCAGTAGTGCTAAGTAGGAATACTCTAGGAAATTATTTATGTTTTCAACCATGCTCATGTATAGTAAGTACTATTGCATGAGATTTTAATTTCTATTTTCTGTTTTTAAAATAACACTAAATTAACTTTACATGATCTTGGCCATTTGGATACAGTCGTGATATGACTGTTCTCATGTATCACTTACTGGGTTTTGTAGGTTTTGATTTGTAGGACTCCTTTATATGCAGTGATAAAACTTTTATGTTTTGCTAATATTTTTGTGTAGATGGAATGAATGGCTGAATTATGATATATACATTCCTGATCTTCCTCGTGCTGCTCGACTTTGCCTTTCCATTTGCTCTGTTAAAGGCCGAAAGGGTGCTAAAGAGGTAAAATATTTCAGAAGGAAATTATGCTTACCTCTAAAATTTTCTAATTAAATCCCTGAGTAGAATCTCACAAAGTCAATGTTATTTTTTTATTTAATTAAAAATAGATCAAGGGATCTGGGACGGTGGCTCAGTGGTAGAGTGCTTGCCTTGCATGCATGAGGCCCTGGGTTCGATTCCTCAGCACCATGTAAGCAAAAAAGAAAAAGCCGGAAGTGGCTCTGCGGCTCAAGTGGTAGAGTGCTAGCCTTGATCTGAAGAGCTGAGGGACAGCGCCGAGGCCCAGAGTTCAGGCCCCACTACCGGACCCCTCACCCCCCAAAAAAGATTTAATATCATAAACTGGGGGCTGGTGGCTCACACCTGTAATCTAAGCTACTCAGGGGGCTGAGATCTGAGGATCATGGTTCAAAGCCAGCCTGGGCAGGAAAGTATATGAAACTCTTATCTCCAATAAACTACCAGAAAATCAGAAGTGGTGCTGTAGCTCAAGTGGTAGAGTGCTTGCTTTGAGTTGATATTGCTTAGGGACAGCGCTCAGGCCTAGAGTTCAAGCCCCATGACCGACAAAAAAAAAAAAGATCAAATCTATTTTAAACTGTTGTTTTTATTTGGTTTGTTTTGGTTCTAGGGCTTGGGTACCAGGCACTCAGAGCCTGCGCACTATCCCATATCTTTTTTGCTCAAGTCAGTGCTCTGTTACTTTTGTCATAGCTCCATTTCTGACTTCTTGATGGCAGGTTGGATTGGACATAAGAATCTTGGAATTTCCTTGGGCTAGTTTTGAGCTACTATCCTCAGATTATGGTCATAAGCCATGGAATACTGGCTTTTACTTTTCTTTCTTTTTTTTTTTTTTTGCCTTTGGTAGGGTTTGAACCAAAGACTTCAAAGACTTCAAACATGCTAAGTTTACTATCTAAGCTGGCATTCTACACTTGAGTCATGCATCCTTTCTCGATTTATGCTGGTGATTAAAGACGGATCCTGAGGATTTTTCTGCCTGGACTGGCAGTGAATCAAGATCCTGCAGATCTCATCCTATTGAAAAAATAGAATTATAGGCATAACCCACTTGCTAATATTTTTTAAAAACATATTTTACGGAAGAATAACAGAGCTTCAGAAATGACTTTTTAATGAATATATTTAGTTCATATTTATATAATTTGTTACATATGGAGAGTGACCACATAACTTTCCGCCTATACATATCGTTCCTCTTGATTATGACTTTTTATTTATCATTAAAGAAGAAATACGTAGTTTCCAAAAAAGAGAAGTAAAAAATGCTTACATTTTGAAAAAAGTCATTATCACTTTTGGTAGGGGTTATATTTTATGATTATAGGAAATGTTGTAAAAATTCTCCTCTCTAGAGAAAAAAAGTGTGTTGTTCTTGTTTTTTTTTTTTTTTTTAACTGAGATTCTCAGGCTTTTTCACTCATGGCACTTGAGCCCCATCTCGAGTCCCAACATTTTGTTGGCTGATTCAAGATAAAAATCTTGAGAAATTATCTGCCTGGGCTAGCTTTGAAATTTGATTCTTCTATCTTACCCTCCTGAGTAGCTAAGATTATAGGCATAAGCCATTGGCATAAGAAAAGTGTTTTGAAATACATTGTGTAATTTAACCCATAGAGTAGTGATTTTTTCTTTATTCTTTTAAGGAGCACTGTCCATTGGCCTGGGGAAATATAAACTTGTTTGACTACACTGATACCCTTGTTTCTGGAAAAATGGCTTTGAATCTTTGGCCAGTGCCTCATGGATTAGAAGATTTACTGAACCCCATTGGTGTTACTGGGTCAAATCCAAATAAAGTAAGCTTTTTATTATCATAAACTACATAGTCTTTTTTATGATAGTGAAGTATAGTATACGTGTAATAACCTTTCTTCCATCTCTTAGGAAACTCCATGCTTGGAGTTGGAGTTTGATTGGTTCAGCAGTGTGGTGAAGTTTCCAGATATGTCAGTGATTGAAGAGCATGCCAATTGGTCTGTGTCTCGGGAAGCAGGGTTTAGTTACTCCCATGCAGGCCTGGTAAGGCAAATCACTTAGCTTTTTAAGTATCTGTAGACATGGGTGCATAACTCTGTATAGAAAAGATTTCATGTATTTATTTACACTAACCTAGACACTACTACAATATAATGATATTTTCTATATACTCATATTTTACCTGCAGCTCCATTTCTTCTTAGGTTATGCACATTTCTAACTTGTCTTCATTAACATCTGTTTATTGAATGTTGAAAACCTATAGAACTCCGGGATAAGCATTAAGTAATGAACTAAAGAGGTCTCTGTTGATTATTCAGTGATGAAATGCAGATATTGAATTTCATCATTAATATTAATAATGACAACACAAAATTGATGAAATAGAAATATAAGATTATAAATCATGAGAAATTGTCAGTGGTAAGATGATTTTTTTTGTTCAATTAATGTCTCTCATACTTTCAAAATTTATCACTTTTGCTTTAGCCTAGTAGTACGACCAAGAAGTCCCAAAATATTACAGGTGTCTCAGCCACAGTAATAGCAGCACCAAGAGGCAGCCTGGAATACTACAGTTAGGAGCTTTAATTACTTCCTAGTTGTATGCCCAGTTAAGATGTGTACCAGTTGCTTTCATAATAAATAATGTCTTTCTTGTATACATAATGTAAATGATGTTTCTTTTTTGAGCAGTTGTAAATCTTTGTAAGAATTAGTGCTTTATTATTTGTATTTTGTTTTAAAATTCTACTTTATGAAACAAAAGTAAGAAAAATGTTATTTTCTAGCTATTCATTGGAAACTTGTATAAATCTAAAACACATAATGGAATCATAGTTTTTATATATATATATATATATATATATATAAATTATAATAGGAATCATTTTACCCTTATTCATTAATTCTAATTATACTGAAGCGGACTAAAATAATACAGATGTTTAGAGATGGATATAATGACTTGAATGATATGATAGTGAAATAAAACACCACTAACCTATAATCCTTCAGTTTTCTTATGTCATCACCCAGTATCTTGAGACATCTTTCCAGCATTATAAAAGTCTGTTAAACACTATCTTTGCAGAGTTTTTTGTTTGTGCTTTTTTAGGCTTTCAATGGACAGATATAAGTTGAAGTGCCAGTATTTTTCAACTAACAGATAAATCATAGTAGGAATACTGAGACAGGTAATAGAAGTTAAGAGGGTATTTCTCAACATTTGTACTATATTCTAGGCCATATAAATTTTGTTGTGGGGGGGGTCTGTCCTGTGCACTGAAGGATGTTTAGAAACATCCTTGGGATAAAGCCAAAACCACCATTATACCAATTGTGATAACTAAAGGTAATTTTAGTTATTACCTAAGGTCCCTGGGAAATAGAGGGAACAAAATCACTTGTATTATGAACAACTGCTCCACTTCCAGTGATGATTGGCTTTTCAGGCTTTCCTTTCATATTTCAGTGGAAGTCTCCATGAAACCGAAACTCCTAAAAATTCTTTATGCCTGCAAAAATAGCACAGTGCAGACAATGATAAGGTCTGCTGCCAGCTGGAATAGTAGCTAGACCCCTTTGAACAATTGTAGTAGCATCAGCCTCTGAATATGTGGGTGACTGAGCATTGGGAAAAGAAGGTAGTCTTGTATGAATAGTATTCTAGCTGTTCTCTTTTCTCAGAAGACAGTCTTTAAAACAAACGTACCTTTATCCTGTTCAGCGTGTGATTGGGGCATCCTACTGATTCCTGAGATACGTATAAGCAAGGCATCTTTCATGTTGTCCCAATGAAAAGAACTTGACTTCTTTAATGACTTTTAATCTCTTCAGCAAACATTCTTTTCTTAACCCCCAACTTTGTTTTACACCAGCTATTCTGACTATAAGCTATGAAGATCTTCTGAGTCAGAATTTTGCTCCCAGTTCTCATTGTAAACTTGGCTAAAAGCATGGAGCAATAACGGTGCCACAGTCTAATAAATACTGTACTGCTTTGAAATCTCCACTACCAAATTAGTTGGTTCATTACTTTATAATACAACCTCATCCCAAGTCTTGCATCACAAATAAATGTAGGAAGTTCTTTGCCAGCATTTATATAAAGGTTACTGAAAGGATGAATGATACAGAAATAAAAATTCCTGATTATTGTTATTGATACCTGCAAGCATAAAGATGGAACTGTTTACAATTATTTATCAAAAATGATCACCAAATTAAATCCATCAGTTTTGAAACGTGTTGCATTTTGACAGTGTAAGTCACAATTTAACAGAGATACATTTCAAAATCAGGAGAATATGGAACATGTTATTTCTAATTTTAATAAACATATCTAAAATAAAATTGTTACCATGTTCATTATTATTCTTTTGTGAATTATTTTGTATTTGAAGTAGACAAAATCAAATAGATAATATAAAAGTAGATAAAGTTCCTTGGACCTCAATGATGTCTTTTTCTGGTAATGCGAAGGTTAAGTATATATTATTTCATGCTTGGACTATTGCAACAGCTTCCTAACTGATCCCTCTCTTATAGAGAAGAATGGTCTTTAGGAAACATAAATTGAATCATGACTTTCATCCTTTAAATACTGTTCAGTAAAAATAGTAGCCAAACTTTTCAACCTAACCTGCCAATTTTACATTTGTGAACTCTACTTCCCATGTTTCTTTTCCCTTATCTCTAAGGGATTACGTTTACAGGCTTCTTACTGCTCTTCCATCAAAGTAAATTTATTTATCCTACCTATTCATTTGTTTTTGCACTGGAATTGAAGCTCAGTAAATACAGCATCATTACTGTGTTGTATACCCTTCCCCCCAAAAGAAGTACAAGACAATACAAAAAGTGCATATTTTGTATAAATGCACTATAAGTGCAATGTAGAATGAAAACGTGGAAATCATATTTCTTCACAATGTTGAATAAATTAACAATGTATGGGTATATAAAAACTATGTACTGTGGAGGTCTCCTTTCATTTGTAGCATTAGAAATGGCTAAGGAATATGTATGTTGATGTTTTTAATAATGATTTTTTCATTATTCAGTTAATATATCAGCATTTGCAGGGAACAGAATCATTAAGTGAAATTATCTAAAAATTACTTTGTTTTCTTTTTAGTTTCCTAACATAATTAATATTTATAATTAATATGCAATGCTTTATCCCTTGTTTTCTCTTATTTTTACTTTTAAAATTTAAAAGCTTTGCAACAATTACAAAGATGTGTTTAAGAGTGAAAATCAAAGAGTTTACTTTTTTTTTTTGGTTCCAGTCGTGGGGCCTGAACTCTGGGCCTGGGCGCTGTCCCTCAGCTCTTCAGCTCAAAGCTAGCGCTCTACCACTTGAGCCACAGCACCACTTCTAGCTTTTTTTTTCCTGCTTATGTGGTGCTGAGGAATCGAACCCAGGGCCTCAAGCATGCAAGGCGAGCGCTCTACCACTGAGCCACCTTCTCAGCCCAAGAGTTTACATTTTTATTAAATTGTTTCTTATGCATAAACTAGCAGATTAGTCAGTAGTATAGTAGGAAGAGACTACATCAGGGAAAGGAGTAAATAGTAATAATTTACCACTGACTCCTAGAATAGCAATTTGATCAATCTACTAATTAACTGCTAATTGCTCTTCTAACTGGTTGGTGGTAATATTAACCAAGGAAGTGACTGAATTTGTTCCACAAATACCATATCTTAAACCAATATTTCTATGAACTTAGGAAAAAATTGTTTTATTGTAAAGATGCTATACAGAGGAGTTACAGTTACATGAGTAAGGTAATGAGTACATTTCTTGTTGAGCATTGTTACCCCCTCCTTTGTTTTTCTCCTATTTCTTAATGTAACATTTATAGAAAATTAATTTTCTGTGTTTAGTAGATCACTTAAGGATCCAAGGGAAGATATATGGCAAAAGAAAACCATAGAAAAAAATAATACTTTATTTTATAGAGTAACAGATTAGCTAGAGATAATGAATTAAGAGAGAACGATAAAGAACAACTTCGAGCAATTTGTACACGGGATCCACTATCTGAAATCACTGAACAAGAGAAAGATTTCCTTTGGAGCCATAGGTAAGTGTTAAGATGGCAATTTCCTTTAATTATAGAATAGAACAACAGAATAGCATCAAACTTGCTATATCTTTACCATACCTAAGAAGTAAACTATAATTTACATGTTTTTCCTTATTAATCTTGACTTTTATAAAATACAGACATTGTCGGGCACTGGTGGTTCATGTCTGAAGTTCTACCTTTTCAAGAGGCTTAGTAGCTAGTAGATTTGGAGATCTGGGTTGGAAGAAGTCAAAATTCATGAGAGTCTTATCTTCAAGTAACTACTAAAACCAGGAAGTGAAGCTGTGTCTCAAGGGGTAAAATGTTAGCCTTGAGCAAGAAAGTTCAGGGATAGTATCCAGACCCCTGAGTTCAAGCCCTAAGACCAGCACACACAGAGAGGCACACAGAAACACACATATACACAAGCTCTGTCTCTGTCTGTTTCTGTTTCTGTCTCTCCTCTCTCTCTCTCTCTCTCTCTCTCTCTCCACACACAGACACCTATATCTATCTATCTATCTATATGTAGATGTAGATTTTATATCCCTATATATGGATATAGTTAAATTTCCAGATATATCTGCTGTATTTATACTTTCTACATGAAAAGCTTTTAGAAATCAAACCTAGGCCTTTTTTTTAAATTTAATATTATTTTATTTGTGAACATACTGTACAGAGGGGTTACAATT